TAGGTCAAAGATGAGATGCTTTTCACTTGTCGAAAGGGCTTCTTCTGCACTGCACGAGTCGATGAACTTAAAAATGGATCGTTAGTTCATATGTAAGAGCACCAAAAAGCAAAGGCAGAGAAATGAATCTGAAGTGATCAGCCACAATTCAACTAAATACAGAACGGACTGAAGGGGCTGAGTAGCCTAAATTGTTCCTATGTCCAGATAATGAAAATACCAGCCCTAGGAACACGTTTTATACTGAGAAGTGGACTGTCTTAGCTAATTAAAACTCAACAAAAAGTAAAACAAAAACTGAAATGGAGAAAATCCAAATAGAGAAAAACAGATGGAAATACTCATCGACAGACAAGCTAACCCTTCAGGCATCTAGCCTCAAAACAGATGTAGATTAACAGTAACAAATTTCGTATGTTCTCCCTCCGTCTACAAATATATCGACTATTTCCAACATATATTTTTTAAATTAAACATGAGATGTTCCTATGCAGCGCCGAAATAAAAAAAACAACCAACATCCCACAACATGAGATATATCAAAAAGTTGTTCCCTGAGACAGGTCCTGTCCACCCAACACACATACATGCCATTCCCCTCTCGCCCGAGTCCCTCCGCTCTGTTAGACAGCGGCTGTGGGAAACCACACCCGATACATGGTGGGAGAGATACCAACTCTCGGAGTGAAGGGAGGGGGGTAGGAAGTGAGGGGAAACACTGCAGGGTGAAACAAAGACAGGCCCGGATCAACTAATCATGCCCGTCAAAATGAAATTGAGTGAATCGAATATAACGCTCTAACGATTAGAAATGTCCTATGTGTGAGTACTGTTTGATGCTGAGGAGTTTCACTGTCCCCCCCCTCCCAGTGCTCTGGGTAATGGTTGAGCCTGGCGTATGTTGCCCGGAGTTGGGGAAGAGGAAGTGGAGCTCTCTCTCTGTCTGTCTGTCTCTGTAACGGAGTTCGGTCCCTTACACTCTAAGTATGGCTTATCCTGGATATGGGGCGGTATGTATTAGGCATGATAGGGGTCTTAGTGCAAACGAGGGGAGGGGGGGAGAGTTTAAATTGTAATATAAGAGACCGCCCGTAGTCGGACGTTCAGTCAGAAGTTGATATAAATTTTCTCTCTTGGATGGCGGGGATTTTGGAGGCGCTGTTTTCATTTCACATTTTCTTTCCTTTTCCTCGCACTGTACGAGTTCGTACTGTTCCTGCACCAATTCTTGTGCAGACGTTCACCCTTCCCCTCCCCCCATTTGGGATACTGTTTTCAGACTGGCGGCCTCCCCAGGTTGTTAGTTATTTCGGATGTAAATTGAAGCAGGGGACACAGCATCTTCCGGGAATCCGGCCTAATTTGACTGGTGCGTGGCTTTCCAGTGTGTGAAACACTGGATCCGTCTACACTGCTGTCTCCAAGCTCAGCCCTGCTTCTCCCTATTGGGATTTCACCTGTGGAACTCCCTGCTTGTGCAGCACTGCTGTGTTGTGCCTCCTGGATTTTTCATAACGAGATTTGACTTAGAGAAGGCTCCTTTAGCCTTTCCCTTCCTGTCAGCATTCCATAGGGACCGTTCCCTCTGCGTCTGTCTGGTCTACTACTCCGTCACCCCCAACATCATCTCTTAACTCCCCCCACCCCCCACAGCATAACTTCTTCATCCCCGCTCCCACAGTACCACTTCATCTTACCCTCCCCACGACAGCATCACTTCATCT